GAGAGCAATGACGCTTCTGAACAGAAGCGTTTTATTGCTCCCTGCTCGCACCCTCCTATTTCGTTATTTTGACGAAATAGGGGGCGCAGCATCAGGAGGATCCCGGCGCTGTATCCCTGAGTGACCCTTTAAAGTTATTATTTAATCATTTATATAGCAACTGCAAATTCCGTAGCGCTGTGCAATGGGATAAACAACTCATAGTTTACGGAATAAGAATATACCCGGCGAGTAAAAATGCTACCCACCCCAGATTTTTTTGGGGTTCCTACTCCCATGCTCACAGTTTACACATTTAGACAGCGACACACTGCTATACACACACTCATACAAAACAGTATATACAGTGAGAGAAATAAAGTATTTGATCCCCTGCTGATTTTGAACATTTGCCCACTGACATAGGAATGATCAGTCGATAATTTTAATGGTAGGTGTATTTTAACAGTGAGAGACAGAATAACAAAAAATAATCCAGAAAAACGCATGTAGAAAAATGATTTGCATGCCCATGAGTGAAATAAGTATTTGACCCCTTCGGCTTAGTACTTGGTGGCAAAACCTTTGTTGGCAATCACAGAGGTCAGACGTTTCTTGTAGTTGGCCACCAGTTTTGCACACATCGCAGGAGGGATTTTGTCCCACTCCTCTTTGCAGATATTCTTCAAGCCATTAAGGTTTCGAGGCTGATGTTTGGCAACTCGAATCTTCAGCTCTCTACACAGATTTTATTTGGGATTTAGGTCTAGAGCCTGGCTAGGCCATTCCAGGACCTTAATGTGCTTCTTCTTGAGCCAATCCTTTGTTGCCTTGGCTGTGTGTTTTGAGTCATTGTCATACTGGAATACCCACCCACGACCCATTTTCAATGCCCTACCTGAGGGAAGGAGGTTCTCACCCACGATTTGACGGTACATGGGCCCATCCATCATCCCTTTGATGCGGTCCCCAAAGCTTAATGTTTCCACCTCCATGTTTGATAGGGATGGTGTTGTTGGGATCATAGGTAGCATTACTCCTCCACCAAACACGGCGAGTTGAGTTGATGCCAAAGAGCTCGAATTTGGTCTCATCTGACCACAACACTTTCACCCAGTTTTCCACTGAATCATTCAGATGTTCATGTGCTTTCTTGAGCAGGGGGACCATGCGGGCGCTGCAGGATTTCAGTCCTTCACGGAGTAGTGTGTTACCAATGGTTTTCTTGGATACTATGGTCCCAGCTGCCTTGAGATCATTAAAGGGACTCTCCAGTGCCAGGAAAACATTAGTGCCCCTCTCCCTCCCGCCCCCCATCCCAAGTTGCTGAAGGGGTTAAAACCCCTCCAGTAACTTACCAGAGTCCAGCGCCGATGTCCCTCGGGCGCTGGGTCAAGCTCCACCTACTCTCCTACCCCGCCGACATCAGCCGGTGGGTGAGACCGAATGCCAGTGCCGCACATGCGCATTAGACCTCCCCATAGGAAAGCATTATTCAATGCTTTCCAATGGCGATTTCGGCATCGCTGGAGGTCCTCACATAGCATGAGGACGTCCAGCGTCGCTTAAAACACGGAGGACTTAACCCTGCAAGGTAATTATTGCAGTTTATAAAAACTACAATAATTACACTTGCAGGGTTAAGGGTAGTGGGAGTTGGCACACAGACCCCTCCAATGGGCAGAAGTGGTGTTATAGTCGTGACTTAAATATGAATATTAATTTAATAATTAATATATCATAATTAAGCAACAAATAACAACATTAATAGAGTTCGGTATTATGGTCGAATATATAATAGGAAATACACAAAACATTGTAGTATTAAATGTATATTTAATATAATTATAATAACAATTAAACAAATGCTAGCAGAATGTCAATTTACCACAATAATTACACAATACAAAACTACAACATTACTTACAAAAGGCTATAACAGTTGCTAGCTGTTATAATAGATTACTTACACGGCTCCAGCCTGTTTGGCTGGAGCTATACACACAGCTACATGTTCAATCAATGCAAGCAAAGGAAAAAGGAGGCTCAAAATCCTTCTACTATTTGGTTTTATCCAGTAAGTAGGCTGGCCTGTGATGTCACTGCCAGAAGCACATGAGTTAGCACACTGACCCCTAGTGGTGCCTCTAAAGCATTAAGCTCATTATGCTTTTTTATGACAAAAAGTCATTAATTAATAAATACCATTACAAACCACCCTTTGACTTATGTCATAAAACAAACATTATAAACCCGTACATCTTGAATCTACCATATTTTAACAGTACCTGCCCTACAACAAAACCCACCTTTTGAAGAATGATACCCATTTACCCGTAAAGTTATGACACTTTATTGCTTATTCAATTTTTTTTTTTTTTTTTTTCATTGAGCACATGCATCACCAGTTGGGAAACCTTGGCCTAAAATAAGCACATACCCACCCTTATAATAACCACTGAGCACATGCATTAGCAGTTGGGAAACCTTGGCCTTAAATAGGCAAATACCCACCCTTGTAATAATAGACAACTCAAACCATGTTTTATTAGATTAACCAATGATATTGTGTTCATGTGAGGATGTGTTTTGGAGCTTAATATAGTATTAGACACCACAAACTCATAACACCTATGAATCATGGCACAGACCGACTCGATTTCTGTAGCCTCTGGCTGGTCTGTGTGCCTGGAATTTTCACAAACATTAGTTCTGGAAACTGGATACTCTGTTCTTCGACAGTCTCATAGAACATACGCATGGAGACAGGGATGAATGAAACAGTTCATGATCAAGGACTTTTGTGTGTTTGTGGTCACATTGTTTTGTTTCTTCTTTCTTTATACCATTAACCACCTTGACGTAACAGTGTCCTGCTCCTGATGCATTTGTTCCGACTCTCACCACTCTTAGCTGCAATATTTTTTCTCCTTACAGCAACAGTTGAGCATAGTGTCCAGTGCTGCTTCTTCTTCAGCTTAAAATATCCTTGCTTGAAAGTTCTTGAATGAAAACACAGGCAATGACGAACACAAACATAAATAATAACTGTGCCAATCATCACAAGTACCATTTGATTGTGGTGTCTTAACCATATTTTTTCCTATGGCGTTTGGATAAATACCTACACACCTCTCTTCACATCCAGCACACTCCTGATTCACAGATAAACACAATATCACTGCTGTATCTACCAATTTAACCCAAACACTCGTTATTACTGCTGCATTTACCAATTTAATCTAAACACTCGTTATCACTGCTGTATTTAACCAATTTAATCTAAACATTAACCAAAACAATTACATTCCTATTTACCACCCTTCTATTTAAACATGTATAGATAACCCAAAATGCCTACTTTCTCTTATCCCTCTTATCATTCTTCCGTTTTTTTTTTTGTTTTTTTTTAACTGCAACCACTCATGCACTTTACACAGACACAAATCAAGCACCTACTGGACAATGGGGTTCCCTCGTTAGAGCCCTCCCACCCCAGTTTGGTTTACACAAAAATACCCCCTGGTCCCTATGGGTCAATTCCCCCCTTTCCCAGGCAAGCATACATACATACATACAACAATAATACATAAGGGTTTCAATTGCAATACAATCACTAGAAATAAGAGAATAGTATGCACAAAATCATAGCATAGACATGTTAAATAGACAATAAAATAAAACATTCAATAGCTCATCAAAGGTCAACATTTAAACACTGGTCTCCATCTGATATTCTATCTGTGTTCCAATGTCCACCTCTGGTTTCTGCTACATCTGAAAAGGTTAGGAAACAGATCAGGATTACTTTCCTAGTCACTTATAGCGTATACTGCAAATATTTTACTTAGAATATATATATACACACAGACATGTAAACACATTCCTTCAGCTTTTCATTTTATAAACAATTTGTTCAACAAGGTAACTTTCTTAATTTTCTACTCGGCTCTTAAAATAAACAATCTTTCTGCATCTTCCTTGCAATTCAGGAGTACACAACACTAAAAGTCCAATACTCAGTACCCCCTAGCCTAAATTCCCCACCCACTACTGTAACTAAGTTTACAGCCCACGTTATGGCAGTTCACCCGCTAGGCAGATATGCTCAGTCTCCCTAGCCTAAGTTCCCCACCCGCTACTGTAACTAAGTTTACAGCCCACGTTATGGCAGTTCACCCGCTAGGCAGATACACAATACACCCACGTATTACTTATTTTATATTTCCTGGTCTCTCAGGGATATACAATAGCTAATCCCCTTCCCAGGGCAATATAAAACTGACACAAACTTTTAAGCAATACAGGATTTCAAATGGACTTATGAGTAACAAATTTCTAGCCAACTTAAACATGTTTAATAACTTTCCACCCTTTGGTTAAATTATAGAGGAGTGAACCACAACACCTCTTCCGCCTCTGAAAGGATATAGGTCAATATGTCTCAAAGTTCAACACTTCTGACAGCTATGAGTGACTCCCTATTAATTTCTAGCCTTTCCACGGACATGCTTGCACCTCGCGGCTAAGGGCCTGCACAACTAACCACCCTGTGATGGCAGTGGCTTTCCGCATGGGGGTGACCGCCCCCGCAAAATTATAGAGGAGCAAACATACAGCAGCCTCTTTTCCGGCTCGATTAAAGGTTCTGGGCCAATATGTCTGCAATTTAACCAGTACACTCACGTATCACTTATTGTATATTTCCTGGTCTCTCAGGAATTTCTATTAAATAGCGTATCCCCTTCCCAGGGCAATATACAACAAAAACTAGTCACCAAGGGTCTCTATGGTCATGATAGGCCACCCTACCACTAGTGTAATACGCCCTTTTTTTAAATATATTTCCTGGTCTCTCAGAGATTTTGCCTATCCCTTTCCCAGAGCAATATATATAAACAATTACAAATAAGTTACAAAACGCTACTTATAAGTAATACAGGGTTTCAAATAATAATACAGGATAGAACTGCACAACAACTATTGGGTATGCTCCCCCTTATCCGGACACGTTTAAATACCCCCTAGCTCAGGTTCTCCACCAGCTACTGTAACAAAAATCACAGCCCATGTTATGGAGGTTCACCCGCTAGGCAGATACACCCTAATTCAAAGCATGGAAATATTAAAATCAGTTATAGATGGCTTCTAAAATGATATAAATCTTAATCTGAGCCCCTACACTTACTTTGTTAAAAATGCTAACTTGTTAAAATATTCAAACTAAATAGGACAAAGGAATTATTTTACCATTTTTTCAGTTCATTTGTTACCAGTTCCTGCATATGTCCAGTAATTCCTTAGTCCTGGATAATAAAGCTGAAAAACACTCCACAAATTGATTAGTTTAGGCAATTACATTTACAAAACAATGCAGTTTATTTTTTCTCATACAGGCAAGACTACCCACCCCCAACAAGGACAAATTCTCCCCCAGCTGTAGCTGAAAAGCATGGTCACACAGCTGTTAAAAAGGTGGTCTCTCCTTCATGAGTCAAAATCATATATATATTTATACTAATATTCTGTGTATACGCACACATAAATCTATTATTCACTGAATCTGCTTTACTAAACGTATCTTTTTCTTAACTACTAATTTAATACATTTTGTCCAAATCTCTTTTCAACTAGACAAATCCATGAATGCCAAACAAATGTAAATTAGTACACAAACAGGGTCAAATTTAGCAATAAAACCTGGTGAACTAGTTTAGTGAAAAGTCTTTTCCTATGCAAATGGTAGCAAACAATGAAACTAGGCCTCAACTCATTCACACCATGTGGTCAATGGTGGATCAAAATCCACATGGTCAGACAAAAGGTAAAGTATATATTTTTTTTCTATATACAAATGACCAAAGATTGGTAACAAGCAACACAATAATTCATCACTATGTTCTACAACAAGAGATACCTTAAAAACAAATATCTAATCCCTATCTGCTATCTGCATTCATTCCATTACATATTAAATCATCATTCATTTATTCACTTCTATACAGACAGACAATTGACTCTATGTATTAAACAAAATGCATAACTTTTGTATTTTCCCTAATATTCCAGCATAATCCCATATCTTCGTCGCCAAGTGTTATAGTCGTCACTTAAATATGAATATTAATTTAATAATTAATATATTATAATTAAGCAACAAATAACAACATTAATAGAGTTCGGTATTATGGTCGAATATATAATAGGAAATACACAAAACATTGTAGTATTAAATGTATATTTAATATAATTATAATAACAGTTAAACAAATGCTAGCAGAATGTCAATTTACCACAATAATTACACAATACAAAACTACAACATTACTTACAAAAGGCTATAACAGTTGCTAGCTGTTATAATAGATTACTTACACGGCTCCAGCCTGTTTGGCTGGAGCTATACACACAGCTACATGTTCAATCAATGCAAGCAAAGGAAAAAGGAGGCTCAAAATCCTTCTACTATTTGGTTTTATCCAGTAAGTAGGTTGGCCTGTGATGTCACTGCCAGAAGCACATGAGTTAGCACACTGACCCCTAGTGGTGCCTCTAAAGCATTAAGCTCATTATGCTTTTTTATGACAAAAAGTCATTAATAAATACTGTATGAAAAATCAAAAAAGAGAGCGCAATTATCAATAAAGTGAACGACCTGGATAATAGTTAATGTGTTCTGATAAACCAATATAACTATGCTCAATACATTATAATGGTTAAGCAGCTAAAATAATAAGAAATTTCCCAATTCCAATATGCAAATACTGATATAAATTTCAGCGCTAGTTAATAATCCCCTTATAAATAACAAGGGTGCATCTATATGCAAGTGGTATGTATGATACTATACAGAATATTGAAAAAATATCCAAAAAATATATAAAACAATAGTATAGTCTTGCTTAAAAAACAAAATCCAAATATTGTAACAATATAATAAAGTTCAGAAACAAAGTCCAAATGTTGTGGCAATATGCAGAAGTTCAGAGATATATGAGGGTACCTTGGAGAAAAAGAGACATAAAAAGATACATAGTGTGACTCTGTATCAAAATTTATTTCCAAAATAGTAACTTGCCCCCAACAATAAAAACTCTTACACTATATAAAAAATGGTACTCATCGTGATAGATTATGCAGGGAGAAGGATTTCTTTCAGGTCCACTCGTGATGTAAAGTCAAAGCTGCTGATCTGGTTCCTCCAAAAGTGTCACAGCTGCCTGGTGCACACAGGCACGCTGATAACATAGATATCAATGGGGAAACAATTTCGATCGCTCCAGCTCCTCTTACGAGTTCAGATAGTCCTCTGCATATGAATGATGTAGGCACCTATATCAACGCGTTTCGCCCTTCTTCCGAGGGCTTTTTCAAGATAGGTGCTCTAAGGGTAGCTCGGCAGTTATATACTTTGCCGGGCAAACGGATTTAAATCTCTTAAAGGTGTATACCCTTATTTTTAACACATGTTAAACCATACAATACTCCAAACAGATAAGTACAGAAAACTTTCTAACAATATATGCAAACAAAATAAAAAGCAATATTTATAAAATGCAGTAAAATACATGAATATAAAAACAAAATAAAAAATCTAAAAATAACACCCATAGTAGTGAGTATATAGAAATATTTAACCCCTAGATTTAGATGTTATATATCAATCTAATGGGTACCTCTCAATTTCCTTTGCTATTCATATGTGTTCCCAACTCAGTAATTTTACATGTCACACCTGCTGCTCATTAGTCTTAAATGTTTCCAAAGGGACAGGGGATTTTGTAGCAGATAATAGAACTGGAATGGTAATGTTAAACCATATATGTAAAAAATATATATATGAAAAAATACACAAAAAATACAGATCTTAAAAAATACACTCTAATATTATGCATATGTATTTCCAATCAAAAATTCACTATAATGACCCCTATTGGAAATATAATATATATTTTCTTCCTCGGGATACATGCTCCTAAAATATATATATATATATGCTCCCACTGTAATCTACATATACAAAACACACATAAGAAAGACTAAATGTCTTCCTCTCAATTCTGTAGTATAAGTGGACCTTAATTCTACTCATAGTATTATAATATATTGGCCAATTCTAGTTCTGCATTCAAGCCCAAGGGGGTCAAGGTCTTTAAATTGTAGATACAGAACTTTTCCCGATATGTAAGGGTTTTACTAAGTTCCCCTCCTCTCCATGGTAGTGATACTCACATGATATAAAACCTAGGGCCAAATACCATAACCATAATTGGCACTCACAAAATAGGTTTGAAACACTCCGTACAGAAGAAACAGAGTCTATAGCGAAAATAGACAATAAAAAAGAATATCCACAACGATCGAATGATTTTTTAGGACCAAGAAGCCAATATTTCAGTCGGTATCAACCAGAGTCTCCACAATTAAATATCAGAAAGAGACCTCTTTTAGAGGATGCAGGGGGGGGGGGAAATACCGTAGGAGAAAAGAAAATGAGGAAGTAAAATCAATAGGAATTTTTAATTTATCTGACATTAGTCTAACTAATAACCAAATCAAGGTGCTAAATAAAGGATTAAAATATGCTCCCACTGTGAAATCAGATCCATTTATAGCATTTTTAGACGTACAAAAATATATGAGAAAATTGACTCTTAAAAAATTCTTTTTGAATAATACGGTCCCTATGGCACCTAAACCGGAATATAACATCTTTCACCACACAACCCTCAAAAACAACTCCACATTCTGCCCAATGAATCAAACAAGTGGCCCCATGACACAAGTGGCCCCATGTCAGCTTTTTAGTGGCCCCATGGCAGTGACTGCAGATATAGAAAAGTTACCAAAAAGAATAGCGAAACATAAACAGAATTTAAGTGTATGGGAACGTGCAGCACTCAAAGAACTTAGTGATAATAATGAAATCACAATAAAACCGGCAGATAAGGGAGGAGGAATTGTGGTCCTGAACACTAAAGACTACAATGCAGAGTGTAGGAGAATTTTGAATGATCCCCTTACGTACAAACCAATAAAGGGGGACCCCACACTAGACACGAAACAACGTTTGTTTAGCATATTGGAGAAGGGAAAGTTTTTAAACATTTTGAATAAAAAAGAATTGGAGTTCGTGATGGTTGTATATCCTAAAAAAACGGTATTTTACCAGTTGCCAAAAATACACAAGAGTCTCTTAAATCCTCCAGGTAGACCTATCATCTCTGGGATAGGATCTTTAACATGCAATCTATCCCAGTATATAGATGTCATACTACAACCCTTTGTTAAAAATGCGAGGTCGTACTTAAAAGACAGCGGAGATCTATTACAGAGTATAGAAGGCCTAAAATGGGAGCAAGATTACTTTATGGTAACAGGTTATGTTACGTCACTGTATACCGTCATTAAACATAACCTGGGACTGGAGGCAATTAGAAAAATTCTATACGAAGAGCCTACCATGTTAGTTCAACAGGTAGAATTCCTAATTGAATGTATTGACTTTATATTAAACAACAATTTTTTCTGGTTTGGTAGTGATATATACCTACAGATCAATGGTACCGCTATGGGGACCAGGTTCGCCCCCAGCTATGCCAACATTTTTATGGCCCATTGGGAAAATCTGTTTGTTTGGCAGGGACACCAGTGGGGGTCGAACCTGGTCTTCTATAGACGGTACATTGATGACTGTTTTTTTGTGTGGAAAGGAAAGGAGGTGGAACTCATTGAATTTTTAGCTTATATGAACAAGAACGAACACAATTTATCATTCACATATAAGTACAGCACCACGGATATAGATTTCCTGGATCTGGTTCTTTATATTGACCAACATAACACTCTTAAGTCTAAGACCTTTTTTAAGAGTGTAGACGTGAACAGTTATATTTGGACATCGAGCTGTCACTATCCATCATGGCTATCAAATATTCCATTCAGCCAATTTTTGAGAGTCAAAAAGAATTGCACAGATCCTGAAATATGTGAGTTGCAAACCCAAAAGGTAAAACAACAGTTTGAAGAAAAAAATTACAATGAAGAAATATTAGACGCAGCACTCCAAAAGGTAAAAACTATAGATCGTTCAACTCTCTTACAGACCAAACCGAAAAAGGCCAATACAGACAAAGACACTGAGAATTCATGTCCTCTGGTGTTCAACTATAGTACACAAGCACAATGTATAAAAAGAAGTGTACAAAAACATTGGCACTTGCTCAGACAAGACCCTGTTCTAGCTGCAATTTTACCTATACAACCGAGAGTAATCTTTAGGGGGGCTCCAACATTGCAAAACAGACTGGTACATAGCTGTAATAAACCAATAGGACCCCATCATTTTTTAACCGGCCAAAAAGGGTTTTATAAATGTGGAAATTGCCATATATGTAAATTGAGTTCTAAAGGGAAAAACTACACTACTCTTCAGTCCTCAGTTACAAAAGAAATATTTGACATCAAAGATTGTATTACTTGTAACACCAAACAGGTCATCTATTTGTTGGAGTGCCCTTGCGGCCTCCAATATGTGGGACAAACCAAGAGAACACTCAAGATCAGACTTAGAGAACATGTTTACAATATCAAAAGGGGCTTTGAGAAACATTCCCTCTCCAATCATTTTAGAATATACCATAATGGAGACCCGACACTTCTCCTGTTTTGCGGTATTGAAAGGGTATCACTACCATGGAGAGGAGGGGAACTTAGTAAAACCCTAACATATCGGGAAATGTTCTGGATCTACAATTTAAAGACCTTAACCCCCTTGGGCTTGAATGCAGAACTAGAATTGGCCAATATATTATAATACTATGAGTAGAATTAAGGTCCACTTATACTACAGAATTGAGAGGAAGACATTTAGTCTTTCTTATGTGTGTTTTGTATATGTAGATTACAGTGGGAGCATATATATATATTTTAGGAGCATGTATCCAGAGGAAGAAAAGATATATTATATTTCCAATAGGGGTCATTATAGTGAATTTTTGATTGGAAATACATATGCATAATATTAGAGTGTATTTTTTAAGATCTGTATTTTTTGTGTATTTTTTCATATATATATTTTTTACATATATGGTTTAACATTACCATTCCAGTTCTATTATCTGCTACAAAATCCCCTGTCCCTTTGGAAACATTTAAGACTAATGAGCAGCAGGTGTGACATGTAAAATTACTGAGTTGGGAACCCATATGAATAGCAAAGGAAATTGAGAGGTACCCATTAGATTGATATATAACATCTAAATCTAGGGGTTAAATATTTCTATATACTCACTACTATGGGTGTTATTTTTAGATTTTTTATTTTGTTTTTATATTCATGTATTTTACTGCATTTTATAAATATTGCTTTTTATTTTGTTTGCATATATTGTTAGAAAGTTTTCTGTACTTATCTGTTTGGAGTATTGTATGGTTTAACATATGTGTTAAAAATAAGGGTATACACCTTTAAGAGATTTAAATCCGTTTGCCCGGCAAAGTATATAACTGCCGAGCTACCCTTAGAGCACCTATCTTGAAAAAGCCCTCGGAAGAAGGGCGAAACGCGTTGATATAGGTGCCTACATCATTCATATGCAGAGGACTATCTGAACTCGTAAGAGGAGCTGGAGCGATCAAAATTGTTTCCCCATTGATATCTATGTTATCAGCGTGCCCGTGTGCACCAGGCAGCTGTGACACTTTTGGAGGAACCAGATCAGCAGCTTTGACTTTACATCACGAGCGGACCTGAAAGAAATCCTTCTCCCTGCATAATCTATCACGATGAGTACCATTTTTTATATAGTGTAAGAGTTTTTATTGTTGGGGGCAAGTTACTATTTTGGAAATAAATTTTGATACAGAGTCACACTATGTATCTTTTTATGTCTCTTTTTCTCCAAGGTACCCTCATATATCTCTGAACTTCTGCATATTGCCACAACATTTGGACTTTGTTTCTGAACTTTATTATATTGTTACAATATTTGGATTTTGTTTTTTAAGCAAGACTATACCATTGTTTTATATATTTTTTGGATATTTTTTCAATATTCTGTATAGTATCATACATACCACTTGCATATAGATGCACCCTTGTTATTTATAAGGGGATTATTAACTAAGCGCTGAAATTTATATCCGTAATTAATAAATACCATTACAAGTGGTCTGGGTGTCCCTTTAACAAGATTCTCACATATAGTTCTAGGCTGATTCCTCACCCTTCTCATGATCATTGAACTCCATGAGGTGAGATCTTGCATGGAGAACCAGACCAAGGGAGACTGACAGTTATTTAGTGTTTCTTCCATTTGCGAATAATCGCACCAACTGTTGTCACCTTCTCACCAAGGTGCTTGGCGATGGTCTTGTAGCCCATTCCAGCCTTGTATAGGTCTACAATCTTGTTCCTGACATCCTTCGACTGCTCTTTGGTCTTAGCCATGGTGGAGAGTTTGGAATCTGATTGATTGCTTCTGTGGATAGGTGTCTTTTATTCAGGTAAAGGTTAGGAGCACTCCATCTGAGGTAGCCGGCATACCGGTGAAACGCGTCATCACGCCCTGACGTCACACGCAAGCACTTTGCTCAAGCCACGCTCCCCCGGTGCCTCCATACACTGCCCCACATACACACACACTGCCCCCCATACACACATTGCCCCCCATACAGCCCCCCCATACACACACACTGCCCCTTTACACAAATACTCCATCTGAGGTAGCCGGCATACCGGTGAAACGCGTCATCACGCCCTGACGTCACACGCAAGCACTTTGCTCAAGCCACGCTCCCCCGGTGCCTCCATACACTGCCCCACATACACACACACTGCCCCCCATACACACATTGCCCCCCATACAGCCCCCCCATACACACACACTGCCCCTTTACACAAATACACTTATGGGTCCTTTTGGCGGCTGCTGCTGTTTTTAAAGTATTGCAATAAAGATTGGATATTCTACAATTTATCATCTAGTCCAGAGTAATATACCTTGAAGCTATTAAAGTTTAGAGCAGGCTTCTCTGTTCTATGTTTGTGAGTGTTCCCTTTTAAACTTTTATATTGCATACAATTTATCGTGCTATATTGCCCTATGAGGTTCTTTTCTTCTTATTTTACATGTATGCCTTCCCAATGAAATCAACCAATATTCTACAATAATACATATGTATGTTTGTATGTTACACTGATCCACATATTTTTCACGAATTGTGGCACTTATATTGCATTGTGTTTGCGCCAAAGTACTATTGCACTTTATAATATATGCACCTTAATTGATTGTTTTAAGAGCATGTTGCAATTTTCACTAATATTGTCTTAAAGACACAGCGCACCTTAACGTTCATTTTGTGTGACAATCTCCCCTAAAATATCATCCCCCAGGAACTGCTACATAAACTCTAATGACTATTTTAATCACTTTTTCTTCACAGGGACGTAAAGTATCAGTCGGATCTGTCTCAGTGGGGCCACTGTAAAGCAGACCATGCTGCTGCAGAAGATGGCTGCCTGACCCCCAGCAACAGACTCCAGTGACAGGTAGGTTGGGGGGGGGGGTGTTCACACACTCTACACACACATTGCCCCCCAAACAGCCCCCCATACACACACCCTGCCCCCCATACACACACACTGCCCCCCCATACACACACACTGCCCCCCCATACACACACACTGCCCCTCCATACACTGCCCCACATACACACACACTGCCCCCAGCCCCCCTATACACACATTGCCCCCCCTACAGCCCCCATACACACACACTGCCCCCCCCAAGCACAGCCCCCATACACACACTGCCCCTTTTACACAAATACTGCCCCCCCATACACACACACTGCTCCCATACACACACACACACTGCCCCCATACACACACATATATACACTATCCCTATACACACACACTGCTCCCCTATATACACTGCCGCCTCTATACACACACATTGCTCACACACACACTGCCCCCTATACAGCTCCCCTATACACACACATTGCTCTCTCACTGCTCCCCTATACACACACTGCCCCTGTATACACATGCACTGCCCCCATAAGCCGCTCCCTATACACACACACTGCCCACGAAGCTCCCCCATACACACACACACTGCCCCCTATACACACACACTGCCCCCCTATACAGCCTCCCCTACACACACACACTGCCCTCTATACACACACACACTGCCCCCTATACTTCTATATACACACACTGCCCCCATACACACACACTGCTCCCCATACACTGCCGCCCCATACACACACATTGCCCACACTCACACACACTGCAACTGTTACACACACATACTGTCCCACACATACACTGCATCCCTGACATACACTGCCGCCCTCACTCACACACTACAACCTTCAAACACATACACTGCTCACACACTGTCCCCCTCACACACACACACTGCACCCCTTACACATTGCACCACTCACACACATCACTGCTCCTATGCCCTACTACAGCCCCATTTCCCAGCAGACCTCAGGTAAGTTGGCAAACTGTTCTTAAACGGTTTGACTACTTACTCTGGGAGGGGGTCCCGGCACTATTGACACCATAACCACTACACTGAACTGTAGGGGTTATTGTGTCTGGATTATTTCTTTAATCTACAAGTGACCCTCCCGAGATCAGGCTCTGGATCCGGCCCTGCTCAGCAGTCTGTGTGTGTGTGTGTGTGTGTGTGTATGGACTGAGCAGTCTGTGTGTGTGTGTGTGTGTATGGACTCAGCAGTCTGTATGTGTGTGTGTGGACTCAGCAGTCTGTGTGTGTGTGTGTGGACTCAGCAGTCTATCAATAATTAAAATTCCTGTGAGTTGTTGTGTAGGAAGGGCCCCAGTGCATTGCTTTGCCCAGGGGCCCTTAACTCTGTTAAAATGGTACTGCTTGTGTGTGTCGGTGAGCTTCTATTTAGTGAGCATGTGTGTGTCAGTGAGCTTGTCTTTAGTGAGCTTGTGTGTGTCCCTGAACTTCTTTGTAGTGAGCCTTCTGTTTATACAAGTGAGTTTGCCTGTAGTAAGCTTGTGTGTGAGTCAGAGAGTTTTGTCTGTCAGTGAGCCTATTTGCACATGTCAGTGAGCTTGTGTGCTTACTGTACTATATATATACACTTGTAGGAATGGCATACATTTTTTTTCCAGGGCTGCTTTGGATTCCCAGGGATTCCCAGTTTGGCTCTGCCAGTGAGTGCACTTTACCGCTGAATCATCTGTGTGAGCTGCCGCACAATTTAGCCCTGTTACACGCGTCTGGGAGCTGCTGTTGACAGGTACTAGTAGTCTAGAGATTGGGACATGGGGTAAATGCTCAGCTATCTGTATAATACAGATCTGTGTGTATATAATATCCCGGGATAGTGAGTGCATCCTGTATAGTGCTGCTCTCTGTATAATACAGGCCTGTGCCTGTATAATATCCCTGGACAGTCAGTGCTCCCTGTATAGTGCTGCTCTCTGTCTTGGGATATTATACACAAACAGACCTGTATTATACAGAGAACAGCACTATACAGGGAGCACCAGTGGTGTATCCTGGTTTTGTGCTGCCCTAGGCAGGACAAAACTCAGGCGCCCCCCTCCCCCCCGCGCCACCCCCACCCAACCCTTCCCCCCGCCCCACCTTCTAAATACACACACACACAGTCAGACACATACACAAACACACACACACACAGTCAGACACATACACAGACACAGTCAGACACAAACACACACACACACAGTCAGACACACACACACACACATACACAGTCAGATACAAACACACACACACACAGTCAGACACACACAGTCAGACACAAACACACACACAAACACACACAGACACACACAGTCACATACACACACACAGTCAGACACAAACACACACACACACAGTCAGACACATACACAGACACAAACACAGTCAGACACAAACACACACACACACAGTCAGACACATACACAGACACAAACACAGACACAAACACACACACACACACACACTCACAAACACACACAGTCAGACACAAACACACACACACATTAACTTTATTTAAATCCCCCCCCAACCTCCTTACCTTTGGGAGTGCTGGGGGGGGTCTCTCTCCCTGGTGGTCCAGTGGCTGCAGGGCGGGCGGCGCTGGCAGGGCGGGCGGGCGGCCGGCGAGGGAGCACTTCCCATGAGCTGACTGCTTAGCTCCCTCGCGCGTCGGCTGCAGAGTGAGGCTGGGAACCGGAAGATGACGCCATCTTCCGGCTCCCAGCCTCACTTTGCGGTGCGCGAGGGAGCTGAGCAGTCAGCTCATGGGAAGTGAGCTCCCTCGCCGGCCGCCCGGGATGTCAGTTAGCCGCAAGGCTAACAAGGCATCTGCCCTGGGCATTTGGGGGCCGGCGTTTTTTGCCGCCCCCTGAAAAATGCCGCCCAAGGCAAATGCCTTGTTTGCCTCGCGGCTAATACGTCCCTGGGGAGCACTGAGTGTCCAAATTTATTATACACACAACCCTGTATTATACAGAGAGCACTGACTGTCCAGGGTTATTATACCCAGACAGTAATTGATAGCTGTGCTGGAAAATGTCCTTGGAATTTTTTTTTCAAAGGTTGGCAACTAAGGCACTGTATCAAGGGTAATGTGTTTGTTTTTTTAATAATCCCTGGTGGAAAATAATGAATGTGTCGGGGGTGGGGCTTAACATGCGACAGGGGTGGGGTCAAATGTGCCCCTGGCCCTCCATGTGCCCCCCCCTAAAAATTTATCCTAGAGACACCACTGATCTGTCTGTCTCCATTTTATAACACAGAGAGAGAGAGAGGAAGAGAGATGCGGTTCAGATGACTTCACAGCACAGTAATCACTGAATCTGGCTGTCAGTGTGATCACATGAGCTGGGACACCATGATTTGCTATTACTGCTCTGTCTCAGACCCCGAGACACCCAGCAAGAGCAGCAACTCGGAGGATAGCCAGCGGAATTTCTGCTGTGTGACGCAATTATTTTACAAGGATAACCATGACGGAAAAATTCACTTAATAAAGACACTAACTTAATTCATGGTTTTTATTTTACACTGCAATCTGCTCTAAATGCATTTCTGATGTTTGCAACCATGTCTTGTATAAAAAAAAGAAAAAGAAAAACCCAGACAAAACTAAATTCTCAATCTATGTTATTTTGCTAAATTCATTGCACATAATGTAGGGGTATGCCTGGACTCCAAATATGGCAATTTTGTTCAACCCCTTTAAAGTTGAATAAATTACTATGAGAAACTGCTGCACAGCTCAGGGATTTGAATCATCTCATTCTGAAACCCTGATATGGAAACCAAACTATGTTGATCTTTTATTTATTTATTTATTTTCTTGTAATGTTTTCACATTTTTCAAGCAACACACTGTTTAGCGAATAAATCGCAAGATTACATTAGTGGACATTAACACAATGCACTGTGACTGTGTCATCTAGGAACGGAACCGGGATAGTCATTCAGATGGCCACTAGAGGTGCTTTCTGGATAAGTACAGCACAATATGCAGCACTGACGTTCAGCGTCTCCACACTTTGCATGAAGATGCTGAACTTTTCCCATAGAGATGCATTGATTCATTTCATCTCTATGAGGAGATGCTGATTGCCAGCACGGCTCCCATGTGAAAGCTTTGGATTGGCTGAGATCATCAATTCTCTGATGATTTCAGCAAACTAGGCGAATCAGGGATGGGGCCAGCGCTGGTAGACCCACTCAGCACTGGAATAAAGGTGAATTTTTATCCTATTTAAGAGAGGCAGTGGGGGAGGCAACCTATATTGTAGCCCCATGTAGCCAGGCGCAGCTAAGCGGAAAAAGGCCTTGACAGGGGTTAGGAGGCGGGCTTAGGAGGAAGTAAGCAAGGGAGTGGAGTTATGGGTAAGTAGGTTTGGTTATTTAAATGGGCAGCCATTTTAGGTAAGTCATTCTAATTTCCTACCTGGTTAAGTTTGTGTTCGCTCCTGTGGGCACAGATTTGGCTTGGTAGGGTTTTTTCTTCTTTTGTCTCCCTGCAGGGCGATGGACGAAGTGGAGCGACTGCTGGAGGGGATCCGGTCGGCGGCGAGGCACCAGGGGGCTGACTGGCTGAGGGCCCAGCTAGGCCCGGCCCTGGCGGAGGTGGCGAACCGGGACGGCGGCGGTGGCAGGCCTGTTCGGGCCAGGAGGCCCCCGGAGCGACTAAGCCCGGGTGGGGGACCCGGTGAAGACGTCCCTGGTGGTCCGGGAGGCTCCATTGCGGGCGGCAGCAGGCCCGGCAGCCGCGTGGTAGAGGCCCCGCCTCCCCGCGAGCGGCCGGGGCCTAGGACCAGTGCCCGGCGCCGGGGGGACGGTCGGGACGGGGCCGTCGCGGCTGCCGGGTCGGACGTGGCCGGGCGGTCCCCTGGAGGAGCGGGCAGCATGGAGGTGCGGCCCGGGAGGGCGCACACCCCGTCGGAGGCGGAGGTCGGCGGGGCCGGGACTGGGAGAACGCGTGGCCGGTTCCCGGCCCCAAAGGCAAGTGCAGGGGGCTCCGGCCGGGGCCCCCTTGGCGGGAGAAGCGCTGGGGGGGTCTTGGCAGGGGGTGGGGGTCGGAGGGCCCAGGTGGGGGGCGGGAAGGCCCCCCTGGGATCACTGGTGCTGAATGGGGGGGGCACAGGGGTCATAGGTGGGGGGAGTAGTGGTAGGGGTGGGGGGGCTGTGGGTGAGGAGGGACTGCTGGGCTCACCTGGTAGGGGGAGGGGGGCCTCCATGGGTTCTGGGGCTAGGCCGGTGCAGGTAGGGTCGGGTAGGCCTGGTTTAGGGGTTGGGGGGGCTTCCTCAGCCAGTATGGTTGAGGGGGGTCCGGGTGCCCTTAGTCTGGGAGCCAGTTCGGGTGGGGGGTCGGGCTCTCGCTGGAAGGGTGAGCGTTTGGGGGTGCAGGGTAGTAGGAGGGGGGGTCTGGTTCAGGGTCTAGTAGTGGTAGTCCCTCTCCGGTTCGGGACTTAGAGCCCAGGGGGAGGAGGGGGAGGTCCCGGCAGCGCCGCTCCATGTCAGGAAGCTCAGGGGAGAGCAGGGCTAGCGTCCCCAGGGGTGGTCGGCGGGGACGGTTGCCAGGAGGGGACAGGAGGAGCCGTAGCCCTAGGGGCTCCCGCGCGCAGCGCGCGGGGCGCGGCGGGAGGCCTTGGCAATGGGCAGGCGCTCCCAGGGTCGGGACGGGGGGGAAGCGAGTACTCAGTGCACCCTACCCAGGACCTCTTCTCCTCTTTCCAGGTTACGGAGCCGTTCCATATCGACACGGGCAAGGCACCAGTTTGGCTCCCCGGTTGGCGAGGTATCGGCGGGAGTCGCTCTCCCTGGACATCGGGCAGTCGACGACGCAGCCCCTGCCGCTCCAGTATCAGGGGGCTCGGCCGGTGAGTCACTACACTCCAGCTCTTTAGTTAGCACACTTCAAGCACTGCTCCACTCACTGGGGGCGGGGGGTGACACGGGGGGCGGCGTTGGTCGGGTCTGGGCTCCGGGGACTGAGGTCCCTGGTCCTAGTGGGGTTTCCGTGGGGCTTAGCTCGGGCGGGGACGTGGGGGTGGCGCCCGAGGCGATGGCGGCCGGGAGTGACAGGGCGGAACTGGCCAGGGGTATTCCGGACGCGGCGAGGCAGCACGCGTACGTCTCGTTTGCGGGCCCCCTGGTGGTTCATCTTAAACAGGACGTGAAAGAGAAGCTCTGGAAAGGTGAGTTTTGCGAGCTCTTCTCCCTGCTCCCCTTGGAGGACTTTATTGACCTCAAAGAGGAGGATAAAAAGGATGAGAAGAAGGAGGAGGAGGAGAAGAGGAAGCGGTATCGCAAGATTCCAAAATCCTTTGGTAACTGGTTAAGGGCGTTTTGCGTGCTGGCCAGCGTGCTCGGTGAAAAATCGCCGGGATTATGCTCGTCCCTGTTTTGCTACTTGGACGGCATTTGGGAAGCATACCGCACCTATGGGGGGCTGGCATGGTGGCGGTACGATGAACAGTTTAGGCAGCGACTGGCGGCTAACCCGGGTATGAGGTGGGATCAGATGGATCTGCCTCTCTGGATGAAGCTAATGATGGCTCAGAAGGCGCAGCCCTTTCAAAACTCGGCCGGCGCGAAGGGGCAGTCCGCCTCGTCGGCCGCTTTACAAAAGGGCTTCTGCTGGCTCTACAATGAGGGCCAGTGCAAATGGGGAAATGCGTGTCGATTTAAGCATGAGTGCTCCGGTTGCGGGGGTGCTCATGGGCTCAATCGCTGTTTCAAAAAAGGGAAGGCGGGAACCGCCGGAGCGGCCGCCGGGGCCGGAGGGAGTGCTTCCCCTGCCCCGGGGCTTCACACCGGTGAGGCTAGACGCGATGGAGCCGTGGCTAAGCCGCTACGGTAACAGGGCTGATGCCTCGGTACTTCGGGAAGGCTTCGGGCGGGGCTTCTTTATCCCCTTCCGGGAGCGGGGGGGATCGGGGGGGTTGCGCAACCTGAAGTCGGTGGCGGATTTCCCGGGGGTGGTACGGGAAAAACTAGACAAGGAGGTTGCGCTAGGGCGGATGGCGGGCCCGTTTACGGTACCCCCATTGGAGGGCCTCCGGGTTTCCCCTCTCGGGGTGGTGCCAAAGAAGGAGCCGGGGAAGTTCCGGCTCATTAACCACCTCTCCTACCCAAAAGGGGAGTCGGTGAATGACGGTATTGATAAGGACTTGTGCTCGGTCTCGTATGCATCATTCGACCGGGCGGTCGAGCTGGTTAAACGGGCCGGGCATGGGGCGCTTATGGCTAAAGTGGATGTTGAGGCGGCGTTTCGGCTGCTGCCGGTCCACCCGGACTGTCACCACCTGCTGGGATGTTTTTTCGAGGGGAAATATTTCGTGGACTTGTGCCTCCCTATGGGCTGTTCCATTTCATGCTTGTCCCGAGGCAGCAAGACTATGTCCACAACAAGAGGACATAATCTTAAATTAGAGGGACAAAGGTTTAAAAATAATATCAGGAAGTATTACTTTACTGAGAGGGTAGTGGAGGGTAGTGGATGCATGGAATAGCCTTCCAGCTGAAGTGGTAGAGGTTAACACAGTAAAGGAGTTTAAGCATGCATGGGATAGGCATAAGGCTATCCTAACTATAAGATAAGGCTAGGGACTAATGAAAGTTTTTAGAAAATTGGGCAGACTAGATGGGCCGAATTGTTCTTGCCGTCACATTCTATGTTTCTATGTTTCTATTTCAAGAAATTTAGTACTTTTCTCGAATGGGTGGTGCGGGTGGAGGCGGGGAACCGTTCAGTAGTGCACTACTTGGACGATTTCTTTTGCGTGGGGCCGGCTGCCTCCTCGGCATGCCAGCAACTGCTTAGGACCATGGAATGGGTGGCGGGCCACTTCGGGGTGCCGCTGGCAGCGGATAAGACGGAGGGCCCGGCGACGTGCCTTAGTTTCCTGGGGTTGGAAATAGATTCAATCTTGGGTGAATGCCGGCTGCCTCGGGACAAGCTGGAGGGGCTCAGGGAGGCAGTGGCTGCGGTGACCGTTGCGCGCAAGGTTACGCTGCGGCAACTGCAGTCGCTGATCGGGATGCTGAACTTTGCATGCCGTGTAATTCCTATGGGGAGGGTTTTCAGCCGCAGCCTGGCGGCTGCTACGGCAGGGGTTCGATCCCCACACCACTTCATACGGGTGTCGGCAGCCATGAGGGCTGATTTGGGCGTTTGGGATGCCTTCCTGCAGGATTTCAACGGGACGGTGTTTTTCCGGCAGGCGGGTAAGTCGGCGGCGGAGCTGGAGCTCTTCACGGATGCGTCGGGTAGTGTGGGCTTCGGAGCCTACTTCGGCGGGAGATGGTGCGCGGAGCAGTGGCCGGAGACGTGGGGGTCCAGCCCGGTCATGCGCAACCTGGCTTTTCTGGAATTATTCCCGTTGGTCGTTGCAATGGCACTGTGGGGCGAGGGGCTCCGGGACCAGAAAGTGGTCTTTTTCTCGGACAACATGGCGGTGGTGCACGCGGTGAATAATCAATCGGCTGCCTCTAAGCCGGTGGTTAGGTTGCTGCGGCGCTTTGTGTTAATGTGTATGTCACGGAATGTTGTGTTTCGCGCGCGTCATGTCCCTGGGTACCTGAATGAGGTGGCTGACGCTCTGTCTCATTTTCAGTGGTCCCGATTTTGGACGATGGCGCCAGGAGCATTGAAGGAGGGGCAGACATGCCCGGACGAGATATGGCAGCTGGGAGCGTCCTGCTTGGGGGACTTGTGAAGGCTTCGCTGGCACCGGCCACATGGGCCTCCTACAGTAAGGTCTCTTGGGAACGGTCATTAGACGGGTTGGATCATGACTTACGTGGGGATGCGCTGCAGGACGCTTTTCTGTGGTACACCTGTCAATTGCTGGCAAAGGGGGCGTCCCCGGCTGTGGTCGACAGGTCCATGGCGGCAATGGCATTCTGGTTCCGGTGGCGCGGGACGGAGGATCTGACCAAGACCTTCCTAGTTCGGCAGGCGTTAAAGGGTTATCGAAAGGGCCGCAGGTCATGTGACTCTCGGCGTCCGGTGTCTGTACGGGTGTTGGGGGATTTGGTGGGTCGGTTGCCGGAAATTTGTTTCAACGGGTTCGAGGTCTCTTTGTTCAGAGCGGCTTTTCTCTTGGCATTCTTCGGGACGTTCCGCGTGGGGGAGCTAGTGAGTGCCAGTAGGGTCATGCCCGGGGGTCTGCAGGCCTCGGGGGTCCGTGTTTTGGAGGGTAAGGTGGTTGTGCATCTGGGTAGATCCAAAACAGACGTCCGCGGCGTGGGTCGGTACGTAACACTATGGGCGCTGCCGGGCGCAGTATTGTGCCCGGTGGCTGCAGTGGCGGAGTACATGGCTCGGAGGCCGGCGGTAGGGGGTTCCTTCTTGGTACATGCGGATGGTTCTTCCCTGTCCCGATTTCAGTTTACAAAGGTTTTTCGGTCCGGACTAGGTAAGTTGGGGCTTCCGGCCGGACGTTTTGGTACTCACTCCTTTCGCATTGGGGCAGCCACGGAGGCCGCACGGTTGGGACTAGGAGATGAGGTCGTGAAGTGCATAGGGAGATGGGAGTCGGTGCGGTTCCGCTCATATGTACGGTTGGGCTTATTGGAATAATAATCAAAAAAAAAAAGTGTGTGTACATGTATGTGTATGTATATGTTTATATATATATATATATATGTATATATAAGGTACGGGGGCGGGCATGGACGGGGGAGTTTCCCTTTGCCTTTCCCTCACGTTTGTTTCCTCTTCTCCCCAGGACGGGTTGCTTGGATTGTGGGACATTCTTTTGTCTTCTGGGCCGAGAGGAGGGCCGCAGCTCGAACACAGGGCCAGCAGCTGGGCTTTCCGAAGGACCAGTTGGCAGTCCGATGGTTTGGGTACCGGGTATTTTGCTGGGGGGAGGTTTGTGGGGCAATGTTTAGGATGGTTGCAGGCGGGAAAACGCCGGACATGGTGGTCCTTCATGCCGGGGGTAACGACTTGGGCCTTACGCCGCAACGACGGTTGGTAAAATGGATGAAGCAGGACATCAACAAACTGAGGGACCTGCTTCCGGGGGTTCTGTTAGTGTGGTCGGAGATTGTCCCAAGGCGTCGGTGGCGGCATGCGCGGGATCCGGTGGCGATCAATCAATGCAGGAAGAAAGTGAACAGCTTGATGGCAAGCTTTGTTAGGAAGGTGGGGGGCGTGGTGGTACGGCACGGCGAGTTGGAAGAGGGGTTGCCGGGGTACTACCGCTCGGACGGGGTTCATCTTTTGGAGGTGGGTTGGGATCTGCTCAACTTGGGTTGGCAGGTTGGTATGCAGCGGGCGCTGTTTCTTCGGGGTGGCGGAGCTCAGACGGCTTAAGGGGTCAAGGTCTGAGCTTATGGCGGGATGGGGAGCTGAAGGAAAGGAAATAGGCTCCCCAGGATGAACGTAATGGAAAACAAACAAGTGGTGGTCATCGGTGGTTGATAGGTTTCGAGTCCTGTCGGTGGCTCAGAAGCTGGTGGGGTAGGGGTATCCGGGTATACCCCTGCCGTGGCTAATGGATGGTTGGCACTTTACATCGATTGGAATAATGTTGATGTATGTTTGTTTATTTATATGGGGGTCATTGCCCTTTATATGTTAATGGAAGGAATAGGATGCGAGGGCGGAGTATGGGGGGCAATGACCCATGTTTTACTTGTTAAGTTATTATTATTATTATTATTGTTGTTATTATTATTGTTTGCTTAATAAAGCTGTGGACAAATTTCCCCATATCCCTTAGTGTCCGTGCGTTATTGGGTTAGGTTATGGGGTTGTTGTCTTGGATTCCGACTGCCCAAAATGGCGACTATACACCTGTCAAGTGTTTTTAACACTATACAATCAGAAATACACATTTGTATTCCTGACCCCGTAATGTTCCTTTAATATTTAAACACTGATTTTGATTGAGGTACCAATAAATATAAGCTTAATTTTATCAATAATTTACATTTTTATTCCTGTGAGTGGCTGTGTAGGCAGGGTCCCAGTGCACTGCTTTGCTCCGAGGGCCTATAATGCGGTTAAGATGGCCCCGCCCATCCCTCCATGTCATATCAGTAACTCTATATCATTCTTAGTAAAGATTTGGAACAGCACAGCAGGGATCTAGCTGGAAGGGGCCTGCTCTCAGCTGTGCTATAACTGCAACACTAAGCTGCATTGCTATGTGTGTATATACATCACAGGATACCACTAGTGACAGCCACCTGGATTGCAACAAATGCGTAAAGTCTGAGCCTGAGCGATCAGGGAGGGGCCACACAATGTATCCTCTAGAATGTAAGTTCATTGAGCAGGGCCCTCCACTTCTCTGTTCCTGTACGTCCAGTTGTCTAGTTACAATTACATGTCTGTTAATCCACCCATTATACAGCACTACGGAATCTGATGGCGCTATATAAATAATAAGCGCCTTACACCATGGAAATTCCTTGATAATCAGATAAATTCCACACGTCTACTCTTTGACATGATATGGGGATGTACAGCTACGCTGTGACTGGTACCCACATAGAACTATTCCCAATAAGCTGGCAGCTCTATGCACAGGTAAACACTCACAGCAGAGCCCTTGCAGGCAGTGTGTGCTTATGCTATACAACTCACTTAGATAAATAAATAGCAAGATTTGTGGACAAGCTGGAAATTATTAAATGTCGAAATTCCTCAAAATGGCCACAAGATGGCACTCAGATACAGGAAATGCTAATTCACACTGAGTAAACAATGTTACTTGCTCTCTGATAAGAAAGAAAAACCAAACAGGTTTACTTCACAAAACATCTAACAATTCAATTATTGATTTTGTTAGTTTATTAGATTTGTAGCATTCGATTTTTAGAAGATTTATTACACATTGCACGAGATGATGCTTTTCAAATGGAGACATGCAATTACCCTAAATGGCCACATGATGGCACCATGAAATTACCTTACTGTGTGTAACATCAGAAATGGTGGGTCCATAGTAAACCACAGAATAAAAAGGATAAATGAATTACAATAAATAAAATAATACAAACATACAAATAATTTCATAACAGTAATTTTGTTATATAGAAATACTTGTTTTATGGGACTTTAAAGGTTGAACTAAGATAAACATTTTTTTAAATAAATATTTTTTTAAAAACACACACACACACACACACACACACACGTTAGATTACCAGATAAGGGACACAACCCTCTAGACTCCATTGCGGCGGTTTATCTCCTTTTGCCACCTTAACTTAAAGTTATCACTAAACACCATAAAACTTTACCTTACAGGAATACAGCATCACATCCCAAGTGCACAAACCCTTTCATATCTACCTATCCAGTTAAGAATATACTGAAAGGCATAGAACGCTTAGACAAACCCCCTACCACTACCAGACCCCTTCCAGAATCCCTTGGAGTAATTAGAGCACTGTTAAAATGAGATTTCTGTGTGAAAAGCAAGTCTTATGACTTGACTGGTGTGTGTATTTGTGTTTAGCAATGTATTAACTATCCACCTACTCCAGGTGGAAGGGGTTTTCATCCACACTTTTTTCCCCACCACAACTCTTGGTATGTAATATTTATATATATATATATATATGGAATGTGATGGCGCTAAATAAATAATAAATTAATAATAATAGATATGATACAGATTCCAGCGCACTCGCTTATTCACTAAACAATGATTTCAAATCTTAGCGATTGTAATAGTTTTATTTAAAAACACCTCACCTAGGCAAAAAATAATGGGGTTTGATTACATTATATGTTCATACAGTGCATAAGCCTGCCACAACGTCAATGTACCCCATTTTTGGCACATCCTATCCTAGCAGCCCTTATGCTTGCTCTTATGAGATTAATCCACTTACTTGGGAAATACTTCCATACTGGGACTCTCTGCAAGTCAAGGCTAAATATGGTCCTGGACTGAGGCACCTGTGACATGGAGGGGTGAAAAACTAAGGAGTTGGCCTGGACTCCCAAATATATAAAAGAAACCAAGAGGGCTGCACTCACCTGAACATGCTTACATTATAGGGTGCTGATGGGGCCACAATATACAAAATACAGAATCCAGCACACTTGCTTATTCACTAAACAATGATTTCAAATATTAGAGATTGTAATAGTTTTATTTAACCCCTTAAGGACACACGGCATGTGTGACATGTCATGATTCCCTTTTATTCCAGAAGTTTGGTCCTTAAGGGGTTAAAAACACCTCACCTAGGCAAAAATAATGGTGGTTTACTTACATTATATGATCATATATTGTATAAGCTTGCCACAACGTCAATGTACCCCATTCTTGGCAGGTCCTACTCTAACAGCCTAATGCTTGCTCTTATGAGATTAATCCGCTTACTTGGGAAATACTTCCTTAGTGGGACTCTCTGCAAGTCAAGGCTAAATAGGGTCCTGGAATGAGGCACCTGTGAGTAGGGTAGTGGAGTAGTAGAGTAGGACCTGCCAAGAATGGGGTACATTGACGTCGTGGCAGGCTTATGCAATATATGATCATGTAATGTAACTAAACCCCCATTATTTTTTGCCTAGAAAAAAAAAAACTATTACAATCTCTAAGATTTTAAAATCATTGTTTAGTGAATAAGCGAGTGCGCTGGATTCTGTATTTTGTATATTTTGGCCCCAGCAGCACCCTATAATGTAAGCATGTTTAGGTGAGTGCAGCCCTCTTGGTTTCTTATATATATAATAATATATAAAAACAAAATTATTGTTTTGTTTTAAATTCTTCTATTTTTGCCATAAAGGGTTACTCCAACCACCATGACCAGTTCAGTGATATGAAGTTGTCATGGTGGTAGGAGACTGGATATGCACCATTTGTGCTTGAAAAGCTGTACATCCAGAGATGTAATCACTTGGTGCCAGGGGCAAGTTACACCCCTGTGTTCTGGGCTGCCCAATATCAAATCTGTATAAAAATTACACGTGTCGTCAGTGAGCACAGCACGCTGATAATAAAGTTAATGAAAGGTAACAGTAATTATCTTCTTCCTTGAAGGTTTACTCTCCCTTCTATCACTGTTTGTTTCTACTATTTACCATCCCTCCCTCTCCACTTCCTCCCCTTGCTGGCTCAGCGCATGTGCTCTAAGCAGGTAAAACAGTCCAATCAAAGTCCAGGTTATAAAGGCCAAATAAGGCATTGTGAGTCAAAATGTGTTAAAAAGTAACACTTTAGGTGTAAAATCAATTTTGAGTTCACTTTACTTTAGTAAATAACTGGTGTGACTGCACATTACTGTGAACACAATACTGTTACCGTGAATACAATAAAAATGTTAATCTACAAAACATCTGGCAATTCATATATTTAATATTTATTATATTTATAGTTCAATTTTTATACAGTACAGGTGATGTTTTTCAGATAGAAGCATGCAAATAAACTAAATGGCTACAAGATGGCACCCGGAAATACAAAATGTACTTATTGTGTAGTGTCCTGGTATGAAATTATTTTAAAACTATTTCAAGCCTACTAACTGTCCCCATTTTAGCGAGACAGTCTCAATATTTGGGGACACCAAGAAACAGTTTCCAAAAACCATACAGAGCTGCTAGATACAGCCCTCCCTCCCGGCTGCCAAGTAAACTGCCTGTGGGCCAGTGAGGGAGATCTTTAATCTCCCCACCGGCCCATGAAGGCGCACAGCAGGGCCAGTGCTCGGATAGTGCCAACCCTGCAGGGGATATCCTGTGATCTCACCTACCGGCCCGGCCCATCGTGGCCCACCAGGCATTTGCCCGGTTTGCCCGATGGCAAGTCTAGGCTTGGTCCTGAGGATTTGGCACTGGTCCTGCTGCCTGTCAGATGGTGGGCCCACCCTTTGTTGGTCCTAGAAGGTTTAGTCATAAGAAGTGAATCCAGTGATAGTAAGAACATCAGGCCAGGGCTGGTGTAATGATTTGTGGCTGCACAGGGAAAGATGCATTTTTCCACACACGCCTATACCTCCTAAGTGTCCCTATTTAGGATAGAGGGTCTCTATTTTGACCTGAAATCCATTTTCTCTCTTTTAATAGCCCTCTTTTCTATGAGCTCCATATTGTTGGTGTGTCTGAGTGTATCACAGAGCTCCATAGCAATAATACTCACAGTAAAAAATGGGGTCCCAGTACAGAAATAACTTTCTTAGGCATCACACTTAATTCCGCAACTATGCAAGCTAGCCTCCCTCAAATTAAAGTAGACAGAATTCTAACTAACATTCACAACTGCACCAACCAAGGGTCATGTACCAGGAAAGAGTTACAGTCACTTTTGGGTTCTCTTAACTTTGCCATGAGAATTATCCCTAAAGGCAGATCTTTCATCTCTAGGCTTCTGTCTCTTCTACACGGCCTCCTTGACGACGACACTAGAATAAATCTAGACAATCCTGCAAGGGCCGACCTAAAAATGTGGGAACTATTTTTAACAACATGGAACGGGAGGTCATTGTTCATTCCCCCCATATCAGATGAATCCCCGGTTATCAGGACAGACGCAGCGGCTACCGTCGGGTACGCTGCAATATTTGGGGACGAATGGGTATACGACAGTTGGCCACCCGAAACAGTTACCCTAGAGAAGTTTGACAAAACCTCGGCAT